AGTTAACACGCGTTCGTTGCTCTAAATATGTTGTACCTATTACACTCACAGACTTCTGCTTTCGCCCTGTTCTTGTCATGTTCTTCCTTGGGGGCTCATACAAGACGAAATTAGGCGGTGACACCTCGGCCTTGGCTACCTTTACAACAGCATTTACTGATCCTAAACCCCTGAAATAATTTTTGAAAGGTATGATACTTCAGGAGTTACATTTTCCGACAAGCAACACCTAACATCATAACTGAATTTTACGCTCTTTCAATAGTCATATTTACCAATAGTCAATGTCTTAAATCATAATTTGAATTTATACTACGTCAATAGCCGCATTTACCGATATTCATCCCAACCCGGCCTACTTAATAGTTTCTAAATAAAGGGAAATCTTTTGACTTAAAATAACTTTCCATGTGATAATAAACTAGTAATTAATCAACTAATTAAAAATAAATAATAATAAAATAATGAGATGCTCACAAAACCGTGCGGCAATTTCTATTGGAAGAAAATCAAGAGCTAACTAAAGCGCCTTAGTATCTCCAAGGGGAATGTAGATAGTAAAATAAGTAGTCTTTTAAATTTTATAGCAGTCGGGGCTTACAGACAGCAGGACGAGCCTCAATAAAATCATCCGAGTAAGTAAATAAAGGCTTACAGTTTGTGTACCATTACTGGTTTACAAAAATAGCCACTCCACCATCTTTACTGTTGAATAAGGATTTTCGGTCCGTACGAAAGCAACTAAAAAACGGTGGTGTGATATTTTGCAATTCGATATCACTGTTCAACCAAGTCTCTTGAAGACAAATTACTTCAGTCTTACTGCGCTCTTTTTTCAGCAGTAGTAATTCCGTGTGGACGCTTTTGTTTAACACCGATCAACAGTTTGTCGACAGGAACGCGGGAATGGAGTTTTTTGCCTTAGTTGTCCTTTGAGGGCTTTTTGCCAATTGTTGCGGTGTTTTCTTTGTCGCATTGAGTTTTTTTGGAGAGAGTGGGACATACAGTACATAAAACGCAAAAGCTGGCCTCATGAAAGTTGATTAAAAATTACGGTTTGCTGTAATAAATCGAACGGGCCGAGGCTGTGGAGGCTGGTATACATCGAGTAGCGTCTAATGCCGGGGGTTAATCCAGACTAAGTCAGAGCTGAACGGAACTGTCAAACTCACCAACACTAATCGAAGAAAGCATAACCATAAAATAGGCACGAATAGGAACAATGCATACTGAAAGGTGTGTAAAAAAGGGATGATTTACGGCGTTAAATTCACCTGTCCTTTTGGAGGGCGATGCTGACATTTTTACTAAATAACGGGCGAGGAATTCAGTCTGCATTACAAATGCAGGTAGGGTTTTGCAAGGTGCCGAAAGTCATTGTAGGAGGCACGTTGACTGTTGTTAAGTTGCGGGAGAGAGAGAGGGATCGGCATCTGAAAGTCAGGGGCACCGGCCAAATTCAACGACCTGCGAGTCACACCATCTCTATTTCATATCCGCGCGTAGAAATATGTAAGTTCATTCAAACAATGCCATTCAGGTTTCCAGGAGCGTTACATCGCGTATATACAAAAGGTGCTAGCGTATTGTATGTGCATATGACCATATGGTCATAGTTCAGACAAACGAAGCAGAGAATTGACAGAGTACTATATATTAAACATGTCCACGTAAGTGGAGAGCAAATAAAAAGTGCACCTCAGATTCAAAGCAGGCGTGTAGACTTTATAGAATTTTGGTGTTTATCACAGCCCTTAACGCGCGGCCAGTTTTACGTTAGACTTCAAGTCTCTATTTTGGGCGCTGTAGACACAAATGACTAACTGTTATATGAGAGCCAGTCATTGTCAGCCCGGTGAACTCAGCAGGTGATTAAGGATTTTGTAGACGCCTCCTATTAGTTATGCCTGAGGATGAATATATGTCTGTTCAATCTGCTCAAAATCCTCGTTCGCATAGTTCATTGGCCGAAATCTGCGCCAGGGTAACGGGCTTATAGACATTTTTGGTTTGACAGTCGTTGAATTAATTTGCGCATTCTTTTTATCAAATCGGTCCATCCACGCTCATTATTCATGCAGATCTTTACGATTGAAAGAAACTTAAATCACTGGCCGAATATTCTAATATAATCTCCGAGTAATAGGTCGTAATTGACGACGTCCAAGTGTCAGTGCAGTCTATAAACTAATCTAAAAATCCGTTCAGACCAGAAGTGCAGCTGACAGAGTGTCGAAAGCATGTACGGAAGGTCTAGTATTTTAGAAAACTTCTGGATAAAATCGAGGCTATTTCTTTGAGGTTATTTTAGGTGGCTACTCAGTCAGGTTATTTGGAGTAAATGGCGGAACCCCTTAAAACTCCATTAAAACGGTACAGGGACTCATAAAATTTAGTGAATATGCGACAAATGTT